ATAACAAATTATGGATAACATTGAGAAGATGAGAATTCCAGAACAAAAACTGTGCTCATGAGAAACCTGTACATAGACCAAGAGGCAGTTGTTCAAACAAACAAGAGTCTGTTGACTGGTTTAAAATCAGGAAAGGTATGTGTCAGGGTTGTATCTTTTCACTGTACTTATTCAATCTGTATACTGAGCAAATAATTCAAGAAGTTGGACTCTATGAAGAAGAACACAGCATACAGATTGGAGGAAGACTCATTAAGAAACTGTGATATTCAAGAAGGATGAGCAGGCGAGGAACGTAAGATCCTACTTAGGGGAGCCACGATGGCAGAGATGGTGGCAGAGGTGATGGCATGGAGACAGAGCAGCTGTGGACACTTGGTCCATGGATTTAAAAAGGCTGTGTGCCTGTAGGCAGGAGGCAGGCTAGCAAAATGTGTCCTTTGGACATTTAAATGAATATACATTTTTTTTTGTTTTGTGCATGTACATCAAATATTTTTGCTTTGTTGATTTGTGAAAAATAAAATGTAAAGGGAAGGCACAGGGAGGAAGCAGCATAACTTATTGCAGGGAGGGGAGTGTAATCATTGAGATGAAACAAAACATATGATTGGTTGAGGGTAAAGCTGATAATCTTGTCTGTTAACTTTTACTTAATTCACAACAAAAAGTTGAAAAAAAAAAAAGAAACTGTGATATGCAGATGACACAATTTTGTTTGTTGAACGTGAATAGGACTTGAGGCACTTACTGATGAAGATCAAAGACTACAGACTTCAACATGGATTGCACATCAGTGTAAAGAAAATAAAAATCTGCACAACTGGACCAATAAACATCATGAGAAATGGAGAAAAGAGGGAAGTCTCACGTTCTTGCTCTAAGAAGCATTCTAGCTGTATTTCCAACACGATTGTTGTACATGGGATCACTATAAGTTTAAACTAGAAAGCACTTAACAGTCTTTATGGAAGCAGACTGCTACATCTTTCTTCTGTGGAATGACTAGGGGGTTCAAACTGTCAATGTTTTGTTAGCCAAACACTTAATCTCTGTATCACCAGGGATCCATTACTCCTGGCATATTTGGATGATGGGACTAAAAGAGTTGAGATTGGGGTTCTTCTATGAGCTCTGTAAAACTTCTTTTCCTTTCGTTCTTTTTAATAAAATGAAGATGCCTTTCATCTAATTATAGTTGAGATTCTCAAGTGAAGCAAACTGTGTAGTCTTTACATTAACTACTCCAATTCTAAAACTTTATCAAACGTATTTATAAAAACATTCACATACAACAACGCTTTACTTAAGGTTCAGTGGTAGACTTATTCCCTTCCATGTGGAAGACCTAGGTTTGCTTCCGGCTCAGTACACAGCCACCACAGTGGAGGTCTGCGTGTTGCTGTGATACTGAACAGGTTTTGGTGGAGCTTCCAGACTATGACTGACTGTGAAAAAAGGCCTGCCGATCTATTTCCAGATTTCAGCCAATAAAAATCCTGTGAATCAATGATCCAAATCCATGGGGTTGCCATGAATCAGGGGTGACTCAGCAGTTAACACCTGCACAACCTACACATATATACTGTCTGTAGTCATTGCAATTGACATTTTACACAGAAATCATTCAATGTATGGGCCATGGGACTGGAAATGATCAAATCTGCTGTCTAAAATGTGGCCCATGTTCATTTTCTTATGGTGTATTTTTATCTAAATTTTTTTATGACTTAGTGTCCTTAGGAGTGCATAAGTGGACTGCTAATCACAAGGTAGGCGGTTTGAGTCCACCAGCTACTGCATGGGAGAAAGATGAGGCTTTCTGTTCTCACAATGATTTACAGCCTTGGAAACCCTATACAGTATCGCCATGAGTAACCAACACAACAGCATTTAACAAGAAGTGTCCTTATCCAAAGTTTAGTTTTAATAAAAGCAAACAAATGCAAATATATAATCCTGTTATTTTAAATGGAAAGAAATTTAACAATCTTGTGACACACATGTTATTTCCATATCAGAGGGAGAAACTGAGGCAGTGAGAGTGGCCCAGATTTCTGATTCTATCACCTAATCACTGTTGCATAAGTTACTAGGTTATCAGAAAGCTCAAGTTAAGTCAATGATTGTAAAAGTTTTTGTAACTACCCACACAGTTAATAAATGGTAGATACGGGTCTGGAATACAGTTTCAGTCTTCAGAGTAGAGGAAGAATTATTTAAGATTTTTGTTTGAAGTATAGATTATCAAGGAAAATGCCCCCAAATCTACATTTAAACAGTAGGCCTGTGCTTGTTTGAGAAAACTACCTTGTGATAAGGAGCCTTGGAGGTGCATGTGGGTTAAGAGCTAAACTGGTAACCAAAATGTTGATGGTTCAAATCAACCTAATGGCTCCATGGGAGAAAGACCTTCTCTGTAGAAATTACAGCCAAGGAAACCTATGGGGCAGTTCTACTCTGTCACATGAGGTGGCTATGAGTTGAAATGAATTTGATAGGACTTAAAAACAACCCTATGATAAAACCAGGTGAGGCCCTCCCACTCATCAAACCTACTTCATGGTTTATTTCTATTCATTCAGTCTCTTGAACTCATCACCAAATTGATACTGAAGTGCAAGTTGCAGACACTTCCCAGTTGCTGTCCATAGGGACCAGTTGTTTTTAATTTTCTTAGAGGGAGTCCTGGTGTGGTGCTGTAGGACAAGCAATGGAATGCTAACCTCAAGGTACACAGTTCAAGCCCACTCCTTGGAAATTCTATTCAGGGTCACTGTGAGTAGAAACAGCCTAGCCGGCACTTAACATCAGAGGACAGATCAGAATGTGTTTTGAAGGCATATAAGAATTTAAGTTAGCATTGGACTGCGAACCACAAGATCTGTGATTTGAACTGCCAGCTGCTTTAAGGAAGAAAGATGAGGTTTTCTGCTTCCATGAAGATTTATAGCCTTGAAAACTCTTCAGGGTTGCTATGAGTCAGAACTGACTTGATGGCACTTTCAACCTAAAAAAACCCAAAAAACAAACAAAAAAAACATGAAGGAAGGATTGCTTTACTTTGTAAAATTTAACTTTTCACGCCCTACTCCATCTCCTCCAACAGTAAGTGCTACCTAGGTAACCAGAGCAGAAATTTGATACTGTCGTTGATACTTTCTCTTCCTCATGACCAGTGAACTATCAAGCCTGTCTTTTCCTAGACTTGTTGAGACTGGAATGCTTCCGGTCCCTCCATCCGCTCTAATACCCCGTTCTGTAGCAGTGGTAGCAGCAGAAGTCAAAATGTGTGCTAGGAACTATTTTAAGGGTTTTATATGGTGGCGTAGTGGTTATGAGTTGGGCTGCTAACCTCAAGGTCAGCAGTTCGAAACTACCAGCTGTCCGCGGGAGAAAGATGAGGCTTTCTGCTCCCATAAAGATTTACAGCCTCAGAAACCCTGTACAGGGTCGGCAGCAGTTCGAAACTACCAGCTGTCCGCGGGAGAAAGATGAGGCTTTCTGCTCCCATAAAGATTTACAGCCTCAGAAACCCTGTACAGGGACGGTATGAGTCGGAACCAACTCCATGGCACACTAGCACCATATCTATCAAACCATTTAATACTCATAACCCTTTTATCTGCATTCGACAAATGAGAAACAGAAGCACAGAGAATTAAATTAAGATACTTGCTTGAGATGACAGTTAATCTCAGCGAAATTCCAGCCCAGGCCTTCTGTGCCTGCCCCAACAAATTTCCTTTTGATTGGTTTCCAGAACTCTGGTCTTGTCCCCTGCCAATCCATTTCCCACGTTTTTGTTTTAAAGCACAAATGGAACGAAACTACTGGCTCCCCTGCTCTTAGTAAGTTCAACTCCGTAGCCTGGGCTAACCTTTTGTGTACAGTTCTACCACTAATTAGTTTTTGGAATCTACTCATACTGGATTTTCACTGCTTGTTTCCCTTCCTCCTTCAAGACCCCCCTAAATTCCTGTAAAGGATTCGAACAGTTGTTAAATGAATTGTTGAAAAGCAGCTAAGGTTTATTACTGGACAGTGTCATGGACTTAACAGCTTGAATTCTCATGAAGGGTTCTCTTAGCTTTTTGATCAGGGTACTTCATCACCTTGTAGTGTCACTATTGGATTTTGTCTGTATCCTCTGGAAACCTGTTAGTCAAGTTGGAATTCTTTCCCAATTCACTGTGTGAGACAGGGCAGAATGGAAGGATGAATGAGCTGAGCAGAATAGAACATTCTTTAGGTGCCGGCCTAAACAACTAACTTTATGACCTCTCAAGGTCTCTCTTCCAGGCTCAGCGAAGCTCAGGTTCCAACATTCAGGAAGGGGGTCCCCGTATTCGGGACCCTCACAGTGGGCAGCTGCGACCTGAGTCTCCACTTCTATATGGCTTCCCCCACCCCCTTACCGCGGCTGTACGTAGAAGGGAGAGGATGAAGGTGCAGGAGAAACGTGGGTTTTATAAACTCTGAGTGGGGTGACGCGACCAAGAACCGGGGTATTTCTCCCCGGCAGGCTCCCAGGTTCCTCCTTCCTGCCTCTGCCTCGGCCCGCCGGGGCTTCCCTCCCACTTTCTCTCCCTTTCCCCCTCGAAACCGACAGCTTGCAGTTCCCGCAGCTGCTGCGCAAGACGAGAAACGCGCGCAGAGAGCGAGCCCTGAAGGGGGCGAGCGGCGCGGCCGGGAGTGGGGCCCTAGCAGTACCCGGGAGCTCGCGCGGCTCCCCCCGCGCACCGGCGACGGGCCCGGACAAGGGGAGGCGCACGACGGGCCTCTCCGCGCCGTCTCTCTCCGCTCCCGCCCTCCGGCCCGGCTTGGGGCGGGAGCAGGGGGTTGAAGCGCGGCCCCACTTGGAGGCACCCCGTTCCTGGGCGGGCGCAGGCGGAGCCCGGCACATCTCAGCCGGCCACGGCGGGAGAAGCGCCGAGCGGCGCCCCGGGCAGCGAGCTCCGCATTCGAACCTCCCTCGCAAAGACAGTCTCCGCCCCACAATGCACCGCGGCGAGCAGCCTTTGAAAAAGCGGCGCGGCTCGTTCAAGATGGCGGAGCTCGACCAGTTGCCTGACGAGAGTGAGTAGCACCTCAAAGCACCCCCCCCTTCTTCCCGCCGGCCGCCCGCCCTAGAACTGCCCCAGCCGGGCTGGGCGGCCGTGCCCTCGACCAGGTGGGTGGATTAAATGCCAGCCCACCATGGTCCTACTAGTCCCTCCACTCCGGTGTTGTCGCCGCGTCGCCGCCTTTGTTATGGTGTCTGTGTTGGTTTCTGGGGTTGTGTGAGCGCCAGGACCGGAAACCGAAAGCTCGGGAGCCCAGCCGGTGCCAGGCGGAGGCAGTATCTGCTCCCCCGGCCGCACTCAGGCCCCCGGGCCGAGGTGGAGGAAGAGCGGCCCCGCTGCGCGGGGGCTGCCCTGGCCGCCTGCACCACTCTCCCGGCGCCGAGAGACGCCTGCTGGGCTTATGTAACTCTCCTGTCCCGGGGCCGGGGAGGGCTCTGGCTGGGGACACGGTGGTCGCAGCCCTGCCTTCTTGCCTTCCCTTTTGATTTTGTCCTGGCTCAGTACCGCCTCTTCGGGCACAGTGGTCTTCACTGTCCCCCCGCCCCACCAGTGTGTCCACCCCTAGAAGTGTTTCCGTGTCAAGGGACTGGCCCCTTCCCCTGGGACCACAGGTGGCTGGGTCCCCTTCCCGAGACAATCCCGGCCGGATACACACCTGCTCAGGTCGTCGCCACCCCCCAGGCGTTCCTCTGTACGTCCTAGAGAATCCCGGGGTTCCTGTTCACATGGAGGTGGCCCGCGCAGCACACACACCGTACCCCTCGGACAGTCACCCCTGGGCATTGCTCCCTCGCTAGGGCTCCTCACGCGGTCTCGGCGACATACACGATCACTTGCGTTTGGTCGGTAAAAGCATCCATTCCATAGTTTAAAACACAATGGAACTTTATACAGTAAAATTTTTTAAATTGCATAAATTATGTAAAAAGGCAAACATTTTAGTTAATTACCTAGGGGTCCCGAGTACACACTCACTATTCAGTTTATGTATAGTTGTATTTTTGTGAGTTTTGGTCTAGCAACAAAGAGACGATCAATCACTGTAAAATCATTTAAGCAAAAGACACATAATTTTTAAATGAAAGCCAAATGTAGCCAATTCGGTTTTCTTAGTGGGGTCACATATTCTGAATGTGTTATAAAGTAAGAAGCTCAAGTTGTGGTTAATTAAGTCAAGCTGGTGAAAAGTTGTATGAAAAGATTTTGTGTTTTATTTTGCTTTGGGCTAAGTTCCAATAGAATTTTCTCTGTGATGGAAATGTTCTGTCCTGTGATGTTCATCAGGGTAGCCACTAGCCACATGTGGCTAGTGACTGAGGAACAGAATTTAAGAGTCTATCTCATTTTAATTAAGTTTAAATAGTCACATATGGGGGAGCTCCATGGTTCCATATGATAAGCATTGAACTGTGAACCACAGGGTCAGTGTTTGGCACCCACCAACCGCTCTTGGGAGAAACATGAGATTTTCTGCTCTGGTGAAGATTTACAGCCTCACAAACCCTATACAGAGTTGCTAGGAGTTGGAACCAACTCCACACTTGTGGCTAGTGGGTAATAGCTCTAGACTGTGTATTTCATTTGTTTCTTGTTTGGGTGCTTGTTTTGACTTGTTGTTGTTAAGTGCTGTCAAGTGGGTTCCAACCCTGTATAGGGTTCCCAGGGAGTGGCTGGTGAGCTTGAACTGCCGACCTTGCAGTTCAAACCAACTTGCAGTCCTTGCACATTAAGCCATAGCACCACACCAATGCTCCCAAATAAGAGTGGGCCTGCTAAGCATGATGTACTTCCTATCTGAAAATTTTTTTCATATTCATCATCTTTACTATAATGCTGTTTTATCTTCTTTTAAAAGCTGTTTTGTTGCTATTGTAGTCATTCTGTTGAGTAAGAGGTATTTTAACTGGCTTTCAGGTACAACTTGGAATATTTTTCTTCATTATCAAACATTTATTGAGGAACTTAGGAGTCTTGTTGTTGTTGTTAGGTGCCATTGAGTTGGTACTGACTCATAGTGACCCTGTGCACAACAGAACGAAACCCTGCCTGGGTCTTGGCCAACCTCACAGTTGTTGCGACGCTTGAACCCATTGATGCTGCCTCTTTGCCAATCCATCTCGCTGGAGGTCTTCCTCTTTTTCTCTGATCCTCCACCCTACCAAACATGATATCCTTCTCCAGCCACTGGTCCCTCCTGACAATATATCTGAAGTATGAGCTGCCTCCTCAAAGTAGAGTTGACTAAGATGATGCGAATGAAGTAAATAAAGCCCATGGGAAAAGCCCTCGAGACCTTAATTTGCTTTCTAATGGGGTACAACTCAAAATGAAGAGAAACAGCTGTAAACATCCATTAATAATCAGAACATGGAATGTAGGAAGTATGAATATAGGAAAATTGGAAATTGTCAAAAATGAAATGGAATGCATAAACATCATTATCATAGGCATTAGTGAGCAGAAATGGACTGGTATTGGCCATTTTGAATCTGACAGCCACATGGTTTACTATGCCAGGAATGACAAATTGAAGAGGAGTGGTGTTGTATTCACTGTCAGAAAGAACATATCCAAGATCAGTCATGAGGTGCAACGCTGTCTGTGATAGGATAATATCCATGCGCCTATAGGG